AGAGAGAGAGAGAGAGAGAGAGAGAGAGAGAGAGAGAGAGAGAGAGAGAGAGAGAGAGAGAGATGAATCCAATGGAAGAGTAGTAAAACAATCGACCAAGATATGGATTGTGAAAAGTTCTTTTGCAGAGAGATTAGAAGGTAGGGTCATGATAGAAGCACACGTCTTATTCCATTGCATGGGCACAAAAGCCATGGATAATGATTACCCCTCTCTCTTGCAGTAACAAAAACGACCCTTCTTAGGTGCACTGCCAAAAGCAGAACTGGATATTTGTGTAGGCGAACATGGGAGACTTGACAATAAAATCGCTGGGGTGCGTTAAACCTCGAGAAAGCATCTGGCCAGTGCATGGTTCTTATTTTGGTATGTTTATGTTCTACATTAATCTACTTGCAATCCTTACTTCTTTCCATCTCATCAATTAATGGAGATGTCTTTTTTTTTTTCCTTAACAGCAAAAGGGAATTATATAGAGAGAAAAAAAAACAAGCATGGAGGCATAGTAAGGGAAAGATTGGATGAGCGTTGAAATCAATGTAGAAAAAGGTTTATTTTAATTAATTAGTCTTTTAGTCTTTGTTACTCTTAATACTTTGTTTAAAATAGCAATATAATATAGAGAACTAAGTCACAAACTCATGTGCTGGCTCTCGCTCTCTAGCTAGAATTCTATTTTGTCTCTAGTATTTTAAATAAATTTCATTTCTTATTTAACCCTTTCCTTCACATTTCATCCTCAAACATTCTCCGCCATTAATATTGTTTCTACCATTATAGGGTATTGGCTGATCTTTTCTCACTACCAACATCAACAGGATCCTGTGGATGTGGAACACTAATTCAGTGGTGATAAACTCTCAGGAGGAAGTTGATTCATGGGAAGTGAAAGCTTTCGCTGAAGACACCGGAAATGTCATGGGAAGTACTTGGCCACCGCGGTCATACACCTGTACATTTTGTAGAAGAGAATTCCGGTCAGCTCAAGCTTTAGGTGGTCACATGAACGTCCACCGCCGGGATAGGGCTCGGCTCCACCAAGCCCAGCCTAATTTTAATAGCCCTAATATATCTTCTTCTCGGCCTTCTTCCACTCTCTTGATTCCATCACAAGAGCTTGTTGGAAATGGCGGTCTATGCCTTTTGTACTCTTTACCAAACCCTAATGCCATTTTCAACCCTTCTTCTTTAAATAATGTTAAAGATAATCCGTCCACTCTTCTCTCCATTTCTCCCCATCCCAATACTGATAATTTCATGAATTTTCCAACAACCATGTCTCCTCATAGCTTCAATTCTTCCCTCTCTAATTCCTATAACACTGAAGCATCAACGTCAACAAATTATAAAAGCAACCAACAAGTTAGTACTGGCAACAAGTTACAGAAGAATGATTCGGCAATTGAAGGTATTGATCTAGAGCTTCGTCTAGGATGCAGCTCATGGGCTTCATAAAAGAGATACATGGTGTGTTTTTCTACCTTAATTGAGTGTGTGTTGCTATCCTGTTCTTTTAGAAGCTTCAATCTTTTTCGTTTTTTTCATTTGAAAAAGGTCTGATTTTTTGATTTGTTGTTTGTGATTATCAAAGTATATTGTATATTAGAAGAAATAGAGGGATCAATTTTAGTTGAATAATGAAGCTGGGATAGTCTCGAGGTAAATAAGATGTCCATGAATAAGCTTACACGCAATGTAGTGTCATTTTCTTGTGCATAATCATTTCATGGAGATATCCATCCATCTACGATCCATTACACCTGTTGTTAGAGTGATTATAAATTGAAATAAAATATCAATCATAATTGTATTAATACTGATAGTTCTCATCCAAATTCTAAATGCGGATCATTCATGAACGCTTTGTGAGTTCCAATTTTCCTAATTTCCTTTTAGCTAACACTTTGTTCGTTGAATTGGTTGATAAAACTCTAAAACTTTGTTTTGTTGATGCAAACGAGGTAGTATTTCATTATTAGCTCTTAAACATGATATTAATATGGTTGTTTAAATCTAGGTTTTGATCTTACGAACTTATGATCTTAATATCATACAAGTCTTGCTGTTAAAAAAAAAAAAAAAAAAAAAAAGACTGTCCGATAGATCCCAACTTTTTAGTCATTATTCTATGGTAGACTTTTGTCAGTTAAACCTTAGGCAATTCGTTTTTTCTACTAAAAAACTCATACAATATCTAAAACAATGTCTATGTTATATTGAAATTGAGTCTAAAAAATTGGTTTATTCAATTCGATCTTCGAAGTTGAGTGTTGCAAATTGCAGGAAAATCCATAGAGCATCACTACTTCATTACTTTATATCAAATTAGGCATGCCAATGCAAAAAGGAAGTAAATTCCTATGCTTTTTTTTTAAACAACAAGAAAGTTTTCATTCTAAAGAAAATGCTAGCGAGAAGCTAGAATTACAAGACATTAAGACATTAAGCATTCAGATCTAAACACCAGTTATTTCAATTTAACATGCAACCTCTCCTAGCTCTAATATTAAGCCAATAGAAGGCAAGAACCTATGATGCACGGAAACTTCTCTAAGGTTCACGTTCCCGTATCAGAAACTCCATGGAAACGGATACTCCATGGAAACGTTTCCTGGAAGTATCGTGTATCAAGGAAACGTTTCTTCAAAGTTTCATTGAAATTTCGGTGAAGTTTCCTAACCGTTTCTATTTTATTTTAGGGTTTACATGGGCTTTTTAAGTTTAAATCAAAAGAAGGCTAATGGGCTACTATTTTTAAGGCTCAATACGTATTCGGTATTCCCCTAAGTCTCTTACCAATCATCGATCAAAGTCTCATGTCGTCTCCTGTCTTCTCGATCAAAGATGATCGCAATTCACAAGGATCATCATTCATCACCAATTCACCATTCTTGATTCTCCTAATTCCTAATCCTATCATCGATTATGGCTTTTCAAGAAACACAATGATCATCAACTACATCAATAGACCAACCTCCATTGTGGGTCTATGTGACTAAACTGAAAAAACTTGTTGGAGCCAGGAGGATGTTGGAAATTTAACT